TCGTCTGCCTCCAGGAGACCCACTGGAAACACAGTTCGGAGTACACCACGCAAGGCTGTTCCTCAGTAATTCCCCCAATTCTTTGAAGTCTTGGGCGATTTTGCAGGCGTCAGAACCTCAAGATCCAGGTTCATCACAGGACACGGCTGCTTTGAACAAGGACTCTTGCATTCGTACATTGTGTTTTGATTCGCGATTCGCAAGGTCCAGTTGCTCGCCCATCTTTTCCACCGCGTGGAAGAGAACTGGCACCTTTTCGTTTGGATGGATTTATCGGGCCAGGTGAGTCCGGTTCGTCCAGTATGGCAGCAGAATCTTGCACGTCCTTTAGCAGCACCAACATGGGGTCCGAGAAGGACTATTTCAGCTTTTTTGTGGGGGCCCTCTACCCGTTCCCAATTACATTTGGGCATCGGTCCTTTGCGTAAGATTCAGACGGCTCATGATAGACTTGAGGTGACAAGTTCATTTTCGAGATTCCCTCCGTCGGGCTATGCTTTTAGGCGTCGCCGGCCTCATTGTCGGCCGTTCAGGGGAGTTGCCCTTTCCCCAGCCCACCTACTTTGAAAGCTAATCAGAACAGTGATACCACTTTGCTGCGTTACTTGAGATCCGCATTTCGGTTTTTCGACATGCTGGATGCCTGTGGCCATTCATTAGGTGATTTGCAACAGCATGTTACAATGGACGTCATTCTTTGTGTTCAAGAAGAATCTGGAGATTCTTTAGCAATGCCACTCAATATGGTGAAAGCACTGAGGTGGTATGTACAAGCTTCATTGATTCCTTTTCCTGATTTGTGTGGAGGTCTCTTCCTGAGCTCGACAAGTTTAGGTGATGCCCCTCGCAAGGAGGCTATGCCACTGCCCTTACTTATTGTGGTGGAGTTAGAGAGGATGTTGCTTTCCGATTTTGCTTCGATTGAGGATCGGCTGATGTCTGGAGCTTGCTTAATTTGCATTTGGGGCAGCCTTCGCTTTGCTGATGCTCAGCAGATCGTCATTGGTCAGTGATGATACTGCTTTGAGAGGCATTTGTTCAAGATCCAAAACCAATCGCAGGGGATCAGCCTTTGGTGTGCTTTCAGTAGGACTTCTGACCCCAGTGTCTGCCCCGGAGACATCCTGGACTTCACAGCTCATGTCGCTTCTTGAAAGTGTTCGTGCTCGTATTGCGCATGATTCAGGCCTGGGTGATCTCTTTGCTCCTGATGCGTTGTTTTTCCACAGCGATACTTCGGGTGCTGGTATGCTTTTTCAGCCTTGCAATTATGCCTGGGCATTGAGGTGGCTGATAGCTTTCGTATCCAAGTGGTTGGGTCCCACGCATGCTTTAAACATCACTCTGCATTCGTGCAAGGCCACAATGTTGTCCATCATGAACCAGCTCTTGCTTTCAAAGACAAATTGGATTCCGTCGCTTTGTATGGCAGGGATGACGTTTGGCTTCCGTTGGCAGGTCAGAGAGTTGTACGACGTGCTTTGCTTTCTGGGTGGAGGCCCAGTCGCCCCCAACATCGGGGAGGCCAGTGCCCGGTCTCTGAACCTGGGGTTGCTTTGGCTTCATTGCAAGAGAATGGGGATTTTACTTCCCAAGCTGAGCTTCCAGCTTCTAGTTCATCATTCGCGGCATCGTCCGAGCCTGTGCCCGAAACTGTATGTTTCCCAACTCCGGCCTCGTCAGGGCTGTGTGGGGCTCAGGAAACCGAGACCCCTAGTTTGGGTAAGCGCGATCGTGATCCCTCTCCGGAGTCCAGCTTGGGGGATGTCGAGGAGGAATTTTTGCTTTCAAAGACAGGCATCGTGCATGTTCAGGCTGCTTCGGCCTATTGCGCGGGCCGGTATAAATCGGCCTGTGGCATCTGGTCGAGCAATTTTGCTTTAGTTACGGAACTTCCTTCAGAGGTCTCTTTTTGCAGACATAAGGCATGCCAAGGTGCACTGTCCCGAGCCCAGTAATTAATCTTTTGCTTCACTGAAAACAGAGACCATTTTGCTTCATGGGTGCTTTGCATCAGCTACATGCTTCAAAATTTGCTGGCATTGCTTATATTTTTGCTACGCTTCGCTTCGCTTCATTGACTTGCGAGTCAATCAGCTGAGTCTTGCGGGCTCATGCTTTGCTACAAGAGCTGTTGCGTCGGCTCAGAAGCTTTCCCCTTTTTTGCGTAGAGGGGCGCTACTGCTTGCTTTTTCGTTGGGCCCTCAGATTGCAACCGCTTCGCTACCGCTTCGCTTCAGCAAGATGCTTGCGTGCATCGCTTTTCAAAGCTTTACTTTTTGCTGCCAGCAGCTTTTGGGCTTCGCTTTAGCTTTGCTTGCTTTTTCCCATTGCTGGGATCATGTCTTCCTCTTCAAAACCTGCTTTAGCATCAGCTTTGGTCGCCATGCTTGAAGATAGGGGGTGGACTATTCGGCTTCAGCCACCGGCAACAGCTGCCGCTGCATCAACTGAGCCAGCTGGGGCTGCTTTGCCAGTGGCTCCTGCAGGGAGTTCAGCAAGTGCTCCGGTGCTTCAGGCTGACTCAATGCGGCCACGCCGACCCAGACAGGAACTCTGCCTTTTCTGCAGGAACTTTTGGTGCGTGATGATTTCGAAGTCTGGGGCCGTCCGGTGCTTTCGTATGACGGATGGTTGGGGTGGAGCGCACAGGAGTGGCTTCAGCATTGGTTTGCTTTGGAAGAAAGCGAGCAACCACCTGAAATGCTGACTGCTTTGCGTTGGTGGCGTTGGCAGCAACAGGCCAATGACAACAAGGACGTCGTTGCCAGTTCCACTGGCGAAGCTGTGGATACTTCGGGGGGAGGTGATTTTCATAGTACCTCGGATGCTGACCCTCCACCTGGTTTCGCTGCTTCCCCGACTGCTGAAGAGCAAGCCCCGACCCTGCATTCTGAGGTGCCGGATCCAGTTTTTGAAGGGAGGTACCTGTGCAGGGGCACTTGTGCGTCGTGTCACAATGCTTTTTGTGGCTTTGGCTCGACCAATTATGACAAGGCCAAGCGTCATGCTCAGCATCGCTGCCAGCAATGCTGGCAGCTGCTGGCACTTGTTCAAAACCACCTTCGGTGAGGGTCTGCGGGCCGTTGCACATTTTGCTTTGGGGATGAGTCTCCCCCGATTGCTTTGAGCTTCATTTTCAGGCGACATAGTTGCCTTGCGATTACGCTCACATGCTTGCATCATAAACAGTGCTTTCTAAGTTCTTGTCTGCTCTGCTTTGTTGCTTCAGTCAGTTTATGGTTTCTCTCGCCCAGGTGATGGCCGAGATTGGAAACGCTGACGCCTTTCTGGCGACAATGACCGAAGCAGACGTTCCACAAGAAGTTGCTGAGCACTTGGTGATTTCGGGGCTATCTTTCCGATTGTTTTCAGCTTTGGCCATTCGAGTGGAGGACTTTGATTCAGCCATTGAAAAATGGGTGCCCTCAGAAATGCTTGCAACGAATCCGGCTGCGTTACCAGCATTGCGTTTGCTTTGGATTGACAAACGATACCCAAACATTTGTGCTTCTATGATGGCAGGCAACTTGGGGATTGCGCCTGCCCCTTCTGGACATGACACTGCAACTGCTCCGGAGTCCTCCTCTCAATCATCATGGGCGGAGACGTTTGCTCCTAAGCTGTCGGCTACCAAGATCCAGGAGTCCAGGAGTTGCGGACCAAGTTTTCCGAAAGCTACCTAGCGAGATTTTGGGCCGGCGGACATGCCCAGCACGAGATTGCTTTCACATGTTTACAAAATGGTATCGACCAAAGAGTTTGCTTTCGTGCCCTGGAAGTTTCGCTTGTCAGTTCAACTTCACGAAGAACAGCAAATGTCACGACCTGTGAAGAGAGCAAGGCCAGAACTCAGTGATTTGCTTTTCGATGATGTGCCGACCCGTGATATTCCATCTGGTGGCAACATGGGAATGCATCATTGCAAGCAGATTCTTTCCTTGCTTTCTCATGCATTTGCGTTGTGCGAAGCAGCTCATTTGCATACTCTTCGCATGTACGAGAAGACCTTCATGAAGTTTGCTTTCTTGAGGACTTCTGCTGAGACCGGGCTTCGGGGCCCCAATTTTGAAGAAATGCAGAATGCAGACCGTATGCTTTGGTCGAGCGTTTCAGAGCTTTGCTTGAAAGGTTTTTCCTTAGATGATGCCGTCCACGAAGTTGTTGAGGTGCGAAATGGCATGTCCACATGGTTACAGCCCAGGCCAGCAATCGCTAAACTCAAGGAGTTGCCCTTAGCTTTTCTTCATCCACGAGGTCGGGGCCGGGGTAAAGGTGCAAAAGGAGGAAAGTGGCAATCACAGCCCAGGGGCGGTTTTCCTCCCCCTCCTCCCCGTTTTGTGCGGATCGACAACACTGGGTCAACCATCTCATGGAGAAGGGGGAGAACAAGTTGCTTTGCATGGACTTCAACAAGAAAGGGGGGTGCTCCCGTGGCCAGAATTGTAAATTCCTTCATCGGTGTTGTGTTGCTGTGGGCAACAGCCAAGCTTGTGGCATGAAGCATGCTGCTTTTGAACACACCTCCCCGGCCAAGTGAGGGGGCCCGCGCGGGGTTTCGAGGAGAGGGAAGCTCATCGTCCTCGAATTTTCAGAAGCACCTGCCGGATGATGCCCCGGCATGCTTACTAATCCCCAATGAAAGACCGAGCCATTCAGCGATTGCTTCCGTCCCCATTACCAGCAGTGTAGTGGATGTTCAATCTGGACAGCATCAGTTGGTTTCAGACGTACCGACAGAAACTTCTGTCAATCCGGGTATCACCCCTGGTTCCTCACATTTGCTTTCTGAGGCCTTTTCAGAAGTATTGGGAGGAACTGGGAAGTTCTTCTTGGATGTTTGTTGTGGCAAAGATAGGCCTTTTTCCAAAGCTGCACTCGCTTCGGGATTTACAGTTCTCTCAGCAGATGCATGCTTCGTTGAGCCAGTGGACATCCTTTGTGATGCACACTTCGAACTTCTTTTGCGATTTTGCTTTGCAGGTCTCGTGTGGTTTGCCATGGCAGGACCACACGAGGCGCACCTGTCACACAGCCAGATTCCTCGGCTCATACAGTGTTTCCTGCACGGTTCGAGGAATTCACCTCTGCGATTGATCGTTGTGTTACACCGCTGTTGGCAACTTTTCAATGTGGTGGCCAGGTATGTTTATTCCATCATCCACAGTCTGCAATGTGGAAGTTACCCCTGGTCCAACACTTTTTACTCGAGATTTCGGCGCTATGTGTCTTTGTGGACTTCGCACAGTGGCAAGGCGATGACCAGGGCTTTGGCCTTTTCGCTTCTTCATTCCAAGGTTTATCTAAGTTGGGCGTCCGATGTAACTTCAGGGGAAAGGAGTGATGACGTCATTCAGACAGGACTGCAATCTTCCAGCATCCCGGTGTCATTTGCTTCTGCCACCATCGAAGTGTTATCTTCGTTGCAGCCCGCGTCTGGACCCAAGGATCTCACAGTTACCGAAGCGAAGCAATTGTTGCCTTCCAAGCCTTTTGGAAACCCTCCGTTTGCTTTTCAGGATGGGGGGGGCATTGGGTCTTGCCCTGATTGGAGTTGTCCCCCTCCAGGTACACCCAATGTGCTTTTGGATCTTCGCCAATCCTGGATGTCGTTCTTGCTTCGGATCAAGTTGCCATTACGACTGCGAGACTTTGTGCGTTCAGGGGGTGAAGCTTCATTGTTCACCTATGAGGAAATTGCCGAACTTCGAGGCAGATTCCAGCTCTGGGCCCGTAGGAACGGGGGCATCGCCGAGGTGAACTGGCAGGTGGACGATGGGCAACCATATTGCTTACGTGCATTGCAAACATTAAGTTCGCTGATTATGGACAAGGACACTTCGCTTTTTCCTTGCTTGATTGAAGGAGTTCCCACTGGATTTGACAAGAACATTCCCAAAAGCAACGTTTTTGCGCCACGGGAGTCGGATTCCACTATTGATGCTGAGCTTTTGCTTTGCGGGGGCAATTGGTCATCTGCTGAAGCTAACCCAGAATTGCTTAGACAGCTGGTGGCTAAGGAAGTGGAAGCTGGTTATTTGGTCCCAGTCTCTTTGGAAGAGGCCCGTCAACGATGGCCAAATCGTCTGGCAGTGGGAAAACTGAGCATTGTCTCCTCTGACAGATTGGTTGTCGATAACAGCATCTGCAATACCAATGCTTTGTGTGATATCAATGAGACTTATACCCTCCCCTTGTTGGGTTCTGTCCGGGCTTGCTTTCCTCTTCGAGGCCTGCCTTGCGAGCTGGCTGCTTGCACCATTGATGTCAAATCAGCGCACAAGACAATGCGAGTCAAGCATGCTGACCAAGGTCTCCTCGGTGTGCAGTGTGATGGTCAGCATTATTTTTATCGCGTCTGCCCGTTCGGGGCGTGCTTTTCAGCACTTTGGTGGGCCCGCCTTGGGTCCTTCTTCGTACGAGTTTTACATCTTTCGATTTTCGTTCGGCACTCTCTGATGCTGTATGTGGACGGTTTCTTCGTCACCCAGGATGCTTCTACGTTGGATGCCACAGCATCTCTCATCCTTGCTTTTTGTGTATGTTTCAACATCCCCCTGAGTTGGAAGAAGCTTTGTCAGGTTGTATGGATTGGCTGGTGTACGACTGAAACTGCATCTCCATGTGCAGAAGTTGCTGGCCGATCCGAAGAATGTGCGCAAGCGGGATTTACATAAAGTGGCAGGTCTTATCCAGTGGGTTCTGGGTGCTTTCCCATTGCTGCGGCCATGGGTCGGAGTTCTTTACAAAGACATACATTGCCCCCCGGCCACAAACCACAGCCTGGACCCGCATTATTTCAAGGAAGTGTTCGATTGCATCGACGAACGCATGCGTTTCATCCGTTCTCCTACGGGCACAGCCATTCCTGTGGGGGCGAAGCTGCTTGAGGTCAGACATCTCCCTATTCGCCAGAAGAAAGATTTGTTGAAAGTTGTTCTTTCCTGCAAGAGAGTCTGGCTTAGGGTTGCAGACCCGGCACAGGTGAAGCGAAAACTCTCCGCCAATAGCGTTGCTTTCCTTCAGTTTTGGCTGCATTGGTGTAAACTTCCGACGCTACTCCGGCCTTTGCAATTTCCGGCCAGAACTACCATTGTAGCAGCAGCCGGCAGCAGCGGACGCCATGGGATCAGGAACCAAGTTTGCTATCGGTGGCTTTGTCAAACTTTCGACAGCCACGATTTGGTTCAGCGAATGTTTCCAACTGGTGGATTTTGCTTCTGCAGGGATTGAACTCAGTGCCAACGCATCCGACAACATCTCTTGCTACGAATGTCTGGCTCAGATCGCTTTGCTTCATTGTGTGTCTGCAGTTACACCTGGTGGACGAATGGCAGTTCGCATCCCAAGCTGGACAGATAACACAGGAGCGGAATCAGAGCAACAAGCTGTTTACATCTTCGTACCCCTTGCGGGTGTTTGCTCAAAGACTAGCGCTTTTCAGCTGCTTTTCGGGTCTCGAATTGGATACCTCCCACATTTCAGGCCCCAGGAATCAATTGGCTGATTGGTTGTCCAGATGGAATGGTCATGATGCCTTGCCCGCTGGGATTCTGGAACAATTCCGCATTCGTCTCGATTTGGGACAGCTTTGGTTTCGGGAACACGAGTGGACCTAGGCTGGGATTTACCCAAGCTCCGGCTCTTCGAGTTTCAGGACAACAACGATTTCCCAGGTCCAGCAGCTTAATGAATCCTCCATTGCAGGTGGAATGTTGCTTTTACGGCCTCCCCAGGCTTTTCGGGGATATGCCATGCGATGGACTCCTTACGGCCTCCCCATTCTTTACGGGGACATGCCAGAGTCGCAGCTCTGAATGCAATCTAGCAGGCTCGTCTCACCGTTTCAGTTGGTGGTGGTGCAACGAGACTCCCCTTTTTCCTGGCAGTCTTTTTGGGCTCCAGCAACAGCTTTGCTGCTCAGCTTCTTTGCTTTGCATTGCTCAGCCGTTGCACCACCAGTCAAAAGAACAGTCTCGCTGTGAGTTTGCTTTAGGTAGCTGGCTGTCGTAATAAAAGTCTTGTGAACCTGCGTGTTCCAGGTGCACGACTCGTCAACCAGAAAGGACCGCGGTTGTTGGGGTGTCCAACGTGGAGCCATGTGGAATGATTCCAGACCCGTTCCCATTGGGGGGGGCGGGGAGGGCTTAAACACCAGAGTGAGCCATGATACGGCGCTCCAACAAGCGGCAACTCGAGTGCCGAGATCCAACTGCGGGTTCCGCCGTCGCTGCCGCTGCCGCTGCCGCTGCCGCTGCCGCTGCCGCTGCCGCTGCCGCTGCCGCTGCCGCTGCCGCTGCCGCTGCCGCTGCCGCTGCCGCGGCGGCCGCCGCCGCCGCGGCCGGCCGCGGCCGCTGCCGCTGGCGCCCGCTGCCACTGCCGCGCCGCTGCCGCTGCCACTGCCACGCCGCTGCCGTGGCTGCGGCTGCGGCTGCGGCTGCGGCTGCGGCTGCGGCTGCGGCTGCGGCGGCGGCGGCGGCGGCGGCGGCGGCTGCTGCTGCTGCTGCTGCTGCTGCCGCCGCTGCCCAATGCAAGCGGCTGACATACTCCATGCGGCACGGACGCAGTGCATATGACTGCATGTCCAGGGCAGCTTTCCTTACAAAACTGCGAGAAGTAGCACCCTAACTGATGCCCTTTGTGCGCATGTTCTATGGTCGACCCTCCACATAAAGTTGGATTCTTCGTCGCAAAAACCACCCACACAGGACCGCAGGGTCTCCCCAATGGCTGTGTTTTGTGCCTTGTGGCCTTGTGGAAGCGGCAGCGATGGGGCCGCGGGCAGGATTTTTTTTACCAAAACTTTTTTTTCTACTTGTGCATAATCATGCGCGTGCGAGAAATGGTATAGATCTCCAAACGCAAGAAGCAAGGCTTTATTCGGATTTGTTGGAAACCTGACCCACCTGTGTGCCCCGTCCACGGAACACGACTGGGTGTGTGCCCGCGGGTCACCGCCACAGATCCTACCGTGCGCGTGCTCGCATCACGTGCGGGCCTCCTCCTGCAGGCAGCCTTGCCAGCCCGACGCGTAGCTGGATTTTTGTTACCTTGTTGCATGCTTCCGTTGGCAGACTACACCCGCCATGCGAGCAGCGCACCGGAGGCAAGGTGCGAAGCGCGTACTGCGCGCGGGGGCCGGCACAGTAGGACAACAACAGCTAAGCGGTCGAGGAGGACCTTTTGCTTGGCGAGCAAGGCGACCAAGTGTGCGGCGACAAATTCTGGTTGGCCATGTGTGCCTAAAAAAAAAAAGTACACCAGTACTGCACCACATTGCCAGAGCTACTGCCGCAAGAGAGGGGTCGGAGGCCTCCTTTTTGCATGCGGAGCTGCTACAGCACCTGTGGTGATGCGCAGCTTCCGAGCTGAACTTGCAGACTCGACAGCTGCAGGGGATGCCCGTTTTGCTGCCGCCGCCCTGATGGCAGACGCATAGTCCTCAGGTGGTTTGCCATGAGTGGTGCTTCGGCCTCCGCTTGGGTTTGTCAAGCCGGCCTCTTGTAGGATTCCTGCCTTGCCAAAGGTGTTGGCCGGTTTCTCCTGCTCTACGAAGATTGGCTCAGGATATCCTGGACCAGCCATGCCTTTCCTTGTCCAGTCCAATGTGTTCATTTGTGGTCGGCGCATCGGCGCTCTCTGCTGATAGGCATGTTCAAGTGCAACGATTGCACGCTGGTCCGATACGAGGGCCCGATTGCCAACCCTGACTTCGCTGTCGGGGGCGAGCGACTGGACACGCTCGGGATAAGCCCCCCACCTGTAGGGTTTGGCAAGGTTGAGTCGCCGCTGGGCAAGCCGCAGGGCGTGAGCCTTGAGGCCGCATGACGCAGTGGGGCAGGGCCAAATCGAGGAATGCGATGGTTTGCTCGTCGGGGCGAAAGTCTGCTTGCAGGTCGCGGATAGAAGGGGCAAATGCCAAGGCCAAAAGTGCCGGCGTGAGTAATTAGGTCTCCGTGTTTGCGGCCCACAGTTTGGGTGATGCGGTGGGTCAGCGGACCTGCAGCCACACAGGATCCCTTGCTGGTTGCCCTACAAATGGGCACGGCATCCCTGCAAGCTGCAGGCTTGGAGGCTCCCGCGTGGAATGCTGTGCTGACAGCAGCTGCTGCTGCTGCCGCCGCTGCCGCTGCCCCTCCCGCTCCAGCGGGAGACGGCCCCACTGACCTGACACGCGGACGGCAGCGGCATGCGTCGCATCCGGTTGACGACTTTTGCCAGCACGCCATCCGCAAGCCTGGCCATGTTGGACTCATAGTCAGGGCCCAACGCGGTGAGGGTGTTCACAACCCGGCCCCTCAGCTCGCAACTCTTCCGTCCTGCTCCGGCGTCTCTCGAACATCCTTCGCCCCCGGAGTGGGCCATTGGAGCGTGCTGCGGCCCTCATCCGCCGAGAGGCCGGAGGTGAAAAGCAAGGGTGTTCCCCTCCTCATAGGACAGTACTGGCATGTACTTGCCAAAAGCCTGTAAAGAGTTTAGTGTGGGAGCGCGCGACGGATGGACACTCTTTCTCCTTGCGCCACGCATGCTTCTTGTCCGAGCGCCCGGTCAAACGAGTCTCCCGCCGTCCGAGTGGCACGAGTACTGCCAGCCATGCGGCCAGTCTCCCGCACCGGGCGCTTCTGGTGGGGCGGGGCGAACGCCGTCCAGGAGCATGCTCCACTCGCTCAGCTTTGCGTTGCCGGTCGGCTTCGGAGTCCTCCGGAGAGGTGGATGCGCTACGCCGCTGCCCAGCCCCCTTGCTGTGGAAGGCATCCGCGCTTACACGCAGGAGTTGGACCCATTCAGTGCAAAACATGTGTTCCTTGCTGCCCAGTTCGCGCGCACTTCTTCGCTCTCAGGCGGGACCGCATGCCCGCATGCCGGTGCATTGCACAACCTGACCTACGGTTCCGACGGCCTCTCGCGCCACGCGGACCCACGCGCGCTCGACGACTTTAGCATGCCTGGCCAACAAGCCTAGGGCATGGTCGCCGTAAGGGTCGATGGCGCCGCCGTCCAGGGTAGGGGCAGCCGTAAGCGACGCCGCAGAGCAAACTGCATCGCTTGTGGCGGGATGCGGCGTGCTTCGTAGCACGTCATGGCGGTGAGCCACAGCAGCTCGTCACACGAACGCAGCAGGCGTCCCAGCCGACGACCGCCTTGATTTCGTCGTTTACGGGGCCAGGAGCGCTGTGCTGCGACGCAACACTGGTGTCATCTGGTGTCCCCTTAACAAGAACGGGTCACCTACTTGTGCATCCATGCGCCGTGGAGGTGGACGGTGCCATGCTGCAGGTCGCGGAGCGACGCAAGCACTGCAGATACACCGAACGCGCGAGGGGCGGCCTGCAGAAGCTCCTGGTCCTAGGCTCCGAGATAGGAAGCCTCTGGAGCACTGCTGCCCAGCGTTTTTTTCTCGACTTCGTGCGGCTCCGAGCTCTACGTGCGCCACCAGCCGTGCGCGCTGCGGCGTCCTCAATAGCAAAACACCACCGCCGCCACCCAAACAAAAATGAATGGATTGCTTTGCCTAGGTATAAAATCGCTTGAGCGCACGTGCTGGCACAGAGGCCCTTGCACGTGTGCTCACGGTCGCCACCGAAATAGATCCACGGGCCACCATACTGTCTGTTGACGCGGCAGGGGCCTATGATCATGTTTCACGCGAGGCCATGCTGGAGGCGTTGCACGCAAGGCCTGAGCTGCAGCCTTTCGCTTTTCGCTTTCGCCCGTTCGGGTCCACGTGAAACATTACAAGCGTCAGACTGTTCCTGCTGCTAGTGGACCACGACCCTATAAGGACATGGGGATTGGGGGCGTGCTTGAGTGTTGGCACGATTCGGTTTATACATTCGCAAAGCTTTGTACGTACTGGCTTGCAGCGGGCGGCAAATTTGCTGTTTCAGCAATATCAGTCCAAAATTACAGGCTGCAAAACTGCGGAATCGATCATCCCACCTCGTTAGCGGGCGACCGGGCCGACGATGTAGATGTAAGGCACTTCCCACACCGTTGCCCAAGGGGAAGGGGGGGAGCAGGGCGACCCCTTGATGCCTGGCTTGTACTCGTTCGCTGCCCATCCCGGTGCATGCCGGCCTGCGGGACGGGGAGGCCGTTTTTGCTTTCCTCGACGACGTCTACATCGTCGCATCCCCCGAGCGGGTCAGGGAGCTGCACGCTGCAGTCGAGGAGGCGCGGTGGACCCATGCCCGCGTGCAACTAAACCGTGCCAAGACGCGCATTTGGAACGCAGCAGGCGCGGAACCTGCTGACATTCGCGACCTCCAGCCGGCCGGGGGTGAACCAGTTTGGGTCGGGGACTGGGCACTGCCCCGTGCGCCCAAGGCTACACTGCGCCTGGCTGGGAGGAGGTGATGCAGCCTTCCGCCGAGGCCTCCAGACGCGATGACCCATGTGACCACCTCCATGGATGGCAGCGCCTGTGACGAGCGCGCGTTCGAGATGTTAAGGGTCCTGGACCTCGCCGGGGGCGCTGGGGCGAGTCGACTGCCGATGCGGCCGTAGGAGCTTGAAGGCACGGACATCACTGGCAGCTGGAAAAAAAAAAAAAGATGTTTTTTTCGAATCCTGCCTCACGAGCGCTGCTGCTATCACAGGCCGGGCCGCACTCTTCGCGGGCCCTCACGGTTCTGCCCACACATGAGGATGTCACGCTCCCCAATGCGCACTTCCGGGTCATCCTCCTTCGCCGGCGCCTGCCGCTCCCGCTCGCACCGCGGACCTGCGCCTGCCGAAGGCCGCTGGCTGGGTGACCACCGGACGGCGTGTGCCACTGCTGGCGTCCTTGCCTCGCGCGCCATCCCTCTTGAGCGAGGCGAGGCGCTGGAGCGGGCGCGCCGCTGCCGCTTGGTGGTGTTCGGGATGGAAGTAGGCGGCAGGTGGGTTCCCGAAGCCGCCACCTTCATCCGCTTGCTGGCGAAAGCGCGCGCGCAGCGGAGGTGCCTGCCTCTCTCCGGACTGCTGCCCGTCCTGAGATGGAGCGGCGTCCTCGCTGTTGCAGCGCAGCGAGCCTTTGCAGCATCCCTCTTCGAGCTGCCTTTAGGAGGGGAGTGTAGTGCTGGCGGGCCGGAGCCCGCCCTGCACGAGCTCCTCGCCGACGCGCACTGGCAGGCGACTCCCGCCCACAGCCGCCTCCCCATGCGTGCCGTCTGAGGCCGAGGCGATTCCCGCAACTGTCTGAGGCCGAAGCGCCGTGCACAGGGACCCGCGTGGATGTTGCGGAAAAAGGCTTGAAAAAAAGAGCTTGACACTGCTTTGAGACGGCCAGTAGTGACGACTTGCCGGGATTGGGCCTGTCTGCAACGCTTGAAGTGTTGCACTGAAGTTGTTTTCTGTTCGCGCCGGCCCAGAAGTAGGGTTGGCGTCGTGTTCTTTTAGGCTCCAGGGTTCCTTTAGCGCCGCCCTCAGAAGCAGGTGTGTGCCGGGGGCTCTGAGGGAGCATCGAGCGTAAACGGATTTGACCACAGCAAGAATAAAAATGTATCGAATCCAGTAGTACTATGACAACCGCCAGACGTTCTTCGCCGCTCGAGTTCTGGAAATTGCGGTTATTTGGGGCTTGAGTGTTTGGGGTTTTGGGGGGATAGGGAGCCAAGAGCCTGTGGAAAGGGCCGTGAGACAGGATACTACTTCCAAAGGCAAAGGTCAATGGTGGATTTCCTGTTCACTTTCCTCACCACAAAGAACCCCCAATTATAATATTATTAATGCGCGTGCGTGTTAACTTACCGCAGTAATACTATTATATTGGGTTCTTAGTGGCGAGACAGGGGTTTTAGCTGGTACATCTGTGGCTCTTGGTACGTCCATTATCCAGACCAGGCGTTAACAGGGTCTCAAGGTGTTCGTGGCTTTGGGTCCAGAAGGCCCCCTGCTCCCGCGAAACTGGCCTGGTTGCGCTTGACATGTACTACTCTGGCGTGTTTAGCCTTCGTAGCCCCAATCTCAGGCATGTCAGGGGAACATGAGTAGCCGTAGCCCCTAATGAACGTCATGGCGCTGCAAGTCATGCTCACGCTATTCACTAAGCTTGACATGACCTGACCTGACCCCAGCAGCAACGCGGCATTGTAGAGGCTATCCAGCACATGAACTGTTGCCAATTCCGTATCAGAGCAACGGGAAGCATGTATAAGGCGTGTAGGCATGCCATGGAAGTTGAAACTGTTATGGCTTCTCCTATGGCATGCAAGAAGTGCTTGTCCAGAGGCGCACAGCCAAGTTACCACAATGTACAATCCAGTGAATTACGATGAATTTTGGACAAATTTCGAGAGGCAGCACACATGCGCTCGGCAGGCTCTTGCGCCGAGCGCCACTGCAGGCGTTTCCGGGCAACGTTTCTCCGGCGAGGCGGTATCTGTCGATACCGGTCGCCGCGTCTAGGGTTTACCCGCTCCTTTTGCCGGTGAGAACTAGAGTTGGGCAAAGGTCTTCCGCGACCTGCCACGAGAGGAGTGGCGTGACAAAGCTGCATGCCATGCTTTTTCATTCAGCCTACGGATGCAGTGAACAGTATATGCCAGGTAGTTTGTGTTTCGTGCGAGGTGTTAGACCATAGGTACGTGCTGACACATATAAAAAGCATTTATCAGGTTTTGCTGGTATTCGTCGCAGTGACCTGAAGGCGGGGCACAGCATGTGACCAGAGTGCGTGGTCATGCAAGATGCACACACCATCAGCTTCGATTCATCCAGACTTTTCTGCTGCAGGCACTGCGGGACGAGAAGCATTGTGACCGTTGGATCGTTGTGACATCGATTTTCCAGCCTTCGCCTGCAACAAGGCCCATGTGATGCGTGTGAAGTGCGAGTCGGCAAGCAGTCACTATTTCGATGAGTTGGTCTGTGAAGGAGACTCGGCGAGCTGACAAAGCAAGGCATCAAGTTTTCCATGCCGGTGATTCAATTGGTGATTAGCATGCTGTCGTGATTGAGATGGGCTTCTCATGCTGCTACATGTAGCGTCAAGCCGATTAGCCATTAGAAAACCCAATCAACACAAGTTCCGAAGTGGCGCATCGGTAGAAACTCCCGTCGGCAAGGCTGGTGCTATGTCGTTGTCGCAGACAAGAACGGCCCGAAGGACTACGATGATGTGGAAGGCCACATTGGTGGGATGTGTTTTTTCTGCACCTTCTGCATAAATTTGGGGGGGGTTTGTGAGGCAGGAGGGGTGGGGTGCAATCTTGCCTTTCTTGTCACTGGTTGGGCTGAGGTGTCATCTACCTCACTGTGGAACGCCTGAGGCTGAGACGAGCTTGGCTTGGCAAGTGCTTGGCACTAGGAAACCAACTCCCTTCATTCCCAAAGCCTGAAGAGGGGGTTCTTAAATCTTGAAGGGAGTTTCCTTAAAAAACCGAATCCTGTTCGCTACCCCGTCCTCCAGTCACCCAGGTATCTCGACGGCATCGCGATCCTAAATCATAAAAAGGGTTGTAAAGATCCCAAAGGCATCCTCTTCCTGAATAGGGTGGTGACCCTTAATTTTTACACCCTCTAATCTGATTCCCTAAGCCCTAAAGAGATGGAGCCTTAAATCCTAAGGAGGCGTAGCGCTATGCAATTTTCTCTATTCGGGTCTGTTAATAATAAATGGCGGGTCCATAAATTCCAAAGGCGTCCTATTCCTTATTGTTTTCGCTAAGCTGTAGAGAGTGGGGTCCTTAACTCCTACGAAAGAGTTGCAATGACACACATTATTGTTCACTTCGTTTTATTCCCTGAATCTTACCTGGATTTACCGAACCAAGATTAGATCTCTTCGATCTGAATAAGAAGGACCCCTAAATCTTCAAGAGAAGAGTTTGTTTTTTGTCCGTTCGCTAAATCCTGAACGAAAAGTAAGTAGGGAATACGATGAAGAGAATAAGATTTATGGATCGCGCTCTTTATGATGTAGCGAAAAGTATTTCGGGAACCAGTTTTCCCGTTGGAATGTAGGGGCTCTTTCCTTTTCAGGAAGACAAGGCACCCTCTTGAGGATTTACTACGGGATCCCCATTCTTTAGGGCTTTAGGGTTTTAGACAACAAGATTGAAGGAATGAAACTCAGGGATCTGACCTGTAAACTTCGAAAACAACTTGGCTGCACATGGGCTTGGAAGGCGTTCTGAATGAGTGTGCCGCTGTTCCATCAAAGTGGTTTCTGTATATTCTTTACACTGTCACTGTGGTCCCCTACAGCCAGATGTGGCTCGATGTTCAGCAACGGTGATCCCTCCGCGCGCTTGTTCGCCAAGCCTGAATTTCAATAGCATTTCAATTGAGGAGGGCTGTGAGGGCCAACCTGCAAGTAACCACGAGCCTGAGGCCAACGGGCCCTGCATTTCCACATCATGGATCATCTGCCCTGGCGACACTTCGGCCGAAAGAATGTGGCCAAGCTTGTCTAGTCGGGGGGGTGGGTCCGGGTATTTTTCGAGTTTAGATTCCAGCCGGATTGAGCAGTATGCGCGGTCATGCGCAGATACGTGCATCCGGTATTGGCTCAGGGAGCCCATGGCAATGGGCAGAAGGCGAAGGCAACCATAAAACCTGGTACCGTTGCTTCAATGGCTCAAGAGCCTCACTTGTTGTTGGCTGCTCTTTTCTGCACGAAGCATTGAGTTGGTCGAGGTGTGGGTTTAAATTCTAATGAAGCCAACTGTATCATTGTGGCCTCTCAGGTGGGTTTCCTGTATGCCATTGCGATGCGTGCTCAGCTGTTTTCTGCATGTGCTGGGGTCAGAGGTCGACACCAGGTTTTGGACGATGGGATGTCATTGTTTTGGGTACCAACTTTGTGCATCACGACGTGCCAGCCATGACAAGCGGACACATAAAGGTGTAGCTCCATTGTTTCCCCCTGGGCTGTGACTTCAATGTGCAATTCTCGAACAAGGCATGGGGCCAAGATTATATACGACACGGACGATGACAACCGCCTCAAGGAATGCCTTTGTTTGTGCTCTTGTTGCGAAGTTGCTGTGCTGCTGATGTGGAGCAATGAATGTATTACTGCAGAAGAAAGCATTCAGCCCCCTGTCCTTGAAGTCCAGAGCACAGGCCCTGAGATTGTAGAGTTTTGTGCAGCCTCCTGGAACAGCCTGTAAATGGCACCTACACCAAGCCTGAGACACTGCCGCTTACAGGAAGCGAGAATACCCATTCTCGGCTTCAATGATGGAGGCACGGTGGTAACTTGGCAGCCACATGGGGGGCTTTGATAGCAAGCGTCGCCTTGTGATTGTAGTACGCCGAGTGTGGAAGCCGATGCGAAGACTCGTTGTGCAATGCCCAAAGGACGGTCTGGCGATGAACGTTTCCCGACCAGATGTGGAAACTGTGGGCCATAGCTTGTAGCTTGTCGAGAAGCATGACCGCGGTGGTTCATGCAGCCTATAGTGCAAGTGAAGATCCCGATGTTCTTGCGATATTGTTGGGGCGCTATGGCATACACACGTTAACATAAACACTTGGCTGTCTAGATCTGGCTGAGGGGCTTAGCCTGATGTTGTTTGCTGACGGTTGGAGGGCATGCGCTGTTCCTGCTTCAGCCCCTTTGTTCTTCTTGAATTCTAAACCCTAAGGGCCAAATCGAAGTCCCCATCTTTGACTGTTGTGTGCTTCGTCGTCTGCCCCAAGCCTAAAGCCCCAACCCCTTAAACTTGAAGCTTAATCTCTAGAATCCTCAACTTGTGGTGATATTCTTCGAATCCCTACCCAGAACTGCGAGACCCTGATCCAATTTCCTACAAATCCCTTTGTTAGCGACCATACCAGGTATGCTTGGCACACGACCAAAAAAAACACAACAAGATCTCAAAAAGAAGCCCCGCCGCATGCGCAATGCTTCTTTTCCTCTCGTGCATTTTGGAGGCGGAGCTTTTGTGCGCTCGGCTCGAGACCTCCATGCCCGCGTCTTTGATCGAAAGTGCAGCCAAGGACCTCGCAGCCAGGCTTGCTCAATCCATATCCCAGCTTCAGGCCATCCATGTGTTGCCAAAGGTGTGTTTGTGTGTGTGTGTGTGTGTGTCTCGTAGTCTTCTTCGAAAGAAAACTGCACCCCTTGGCCTTAAGCGCTAGAATCCAAACTTGGGCTGCGAAAGTAACAGGAAGTTCGGATGCTACGAGTTCTATCGAGTTCTATAGCCCGCACAGGATCATGCAAAGATGATTCAAAACTGTTTATCAGATAAGGAAACATGACAAAAACAACCGCATTGATGCAGCACGTAGACGGTGTTTGTCGAGTGCAGAGAGAAGCAGCGTGGACGTCACAGGAAAGTGCAACAAGAGAGAGAGATGATGAGGGACAACATTAGCAATGAACGCGATTCAGAAACGAGAGGGGGCCCGCGCAATGAAGGCACCATTCATGTTTGCTACATTGCGGACTTTCATGGATGGTTTTCTAGATGGAATCAGAATACTGATCATGCAAGCACACAGAGGCCTACTTGTGGCCACATCTGGCCGCGGGGTTTCCCTCTGGACTTTGTCCAGTCACCACAGACCTTCAACCGCTCGCTCCTGACCGTGCGTTTTGGTTGCAGGTATAGTCCATAGACATCTCAACTTTTGCAAGGGAGTTCCTGCTATGGATGCTATGGGCTGTATCCGAAAAGCACTGGCAGCTGCCTGAATTCAGTCGGAGTGTACATGACATACACACTTACTTTAGCACCAGAAGGCAGTTGAGCCGCCCACCGGCCATCCAGCAGTTTCTGGCTGACGAGGATCCTGCGTGGGCCCCAGTGTTTCTTTTTGCCTTTTGCTGGGTGTTGCTGGATGCATTTCAGAAATCATGATCCCGGAGTTTGTGTTCAAAAGGGTGTCGTCGGGGCCCAGTTGAGTTTTAAGGTGCTACGTTTTAAGGTGTGGCTCAGGTGCCCTGGTCCCTCTGATTTTTGCTAGGAAACCAGCCACCTCAATACCTCTGCCCACTGCTGTATTGTCACGGCTCATGCTTTTTCTCGTCCTCTGATCCCTGGTTTCTTAGTCCTCCCTCCGCTGGTTCCGCGAGGGTTATTGCCCCTCCCCCCACCCTGACTTTCTAAAGCCACCAACCCAACCAATACTACATACCTGAAGCCTCCTTCCAAATGCAAACACACCCGCGACCCGGGTTCGAACCCGGTGGTTGAGGGCCGATTGTCTTATAGATCTCGCCCTAAACTCTCGAAGTTTGCCTCTTTATCTGACCTTCTCAGACTCTCTGTCCCTCTTTCTCTTTCTCGCTCTCTCTCTCTCTCTCTTTCTCTTTCATTCTCTCTCTATCTCCCTCTCTCTCTCTCTCCCTAGAAGTACTCCGAACGAAATTCACAGCACCATCTAAAAGTAGCCGATCATTCAGATTGCAAGGGGGTTCAAGGGATCATTATGTTTGCAAACGTGGGGGGTCTGTGCCCCATCCCCAACTCTCGCGCTGTCCCCACCACCTTCATGAGTGACTCAAAGCCAAGACATCAGCATGCCGTCCGATCACTTGTTTGCAAGTGCATGTGGGGGGCTGCGGTCGCCCCAACCGCCCACTTGTTTTCAATCTCTGTGTTTCTCATGCGCCCCCTCCGAGCAGCATGCCGTCCGATCATCATGTTTCCAAGGGGGGGCTTCCCCCAAGTCTGATGATGATGTTCGCAGGTGGGGGGGGGGGCATGCCATGCGATCAGTATGTTGCAAGTGGGGAGCTGTGACGCAAAACAGGATTGTACAAATTCAATTCCCAAATAGCTTCATGCAAAATCGGACCCTACAACTTTGAATTTCCCACAAGCTGCCCACAAGACCCTCCAAATTTGAACTCCGTACTTGTTTGACGCCAAACAGGGCCCGGCAATTTGGAATTCCCCAATCGTTTCACAAAACCGGACCCTGCAAATTGGAATTCCCGATAATACCGGACCTTACAAATCCCCAATAGCTTGCCGCAGCAGACCATCGGCCAAAGCGCCAAACCTTCGAAAACTCTTCCAAACTCAAGGCTCGGTTTCCTTGGAATCAATGGGAAACTTTTTTCATCTCTACATTCTTTCTTCGAGCCTTCACCCGTGCAGCACAAAGAAGCGTACGCAATCAAAAGCACTTTTACCGTACTGTGTTGGTTGCATCTCCCGCGAATCTTTTAATGCACGTTGGACAACTTTGCCACTTAGTGCCCTGCAGTACTCCCGGAGCGTCCGCTAGGTGGCCTTCCGGTTGTAGCCGCAAGCTTGTGTGGTGATTGTGTATGTTTGGGTTAGGTGGCACTGAATCTGAAATACAGAGCAGATTTTTGAACATGATCGCCGATAACACCAACCTCCCCAGGACGTGGACGCCATCTTCCGACTGACACGGCCACTGCCTTGCTCCTTCCAAGGCCAAGGATCAGCTCCTGAGATTTTGGCTGCGAAGGTTGACTGTGATTGATTTGGAGGGCTTCAGAGCTTGAAGCAGCTCATCCATGAAGGGTTTGGAGGGCTGTGGGGACGCGCGGGGCAGATTGTTTAGACTGGGATGGTGATTCTTGTAAGGCATGTGCACAGTCAGGAGGGGGGCGGCCTGAAGCTTTCGCGGTGCCTCCCCAGCTCCCCGGACGAACTTCGGCAGTGGGTTCTCCGAAGGGAGCCCCATCAAGTTTCGGAGAAGCCAAGGGCATCCAAGGGCCAAGTGCTCAATTCAGGTCCTTGGTCTGGTTTTTTTCAAAAGGTTCTGTAAGGCCTTCGGGTTTTTTCAGCAGTGGCAAGAGTAGGTCGTGCTGTGTTGTGCTTTGCAGCCTGTGGCGTAGAGTGCATCGTGATAGGATAGAATGCTGTAGAGGGCTCTGTCCTCATCGGGTGTGTGCAGCAGGTTCTTCACACCTTACAACGCGCAGTGTACCGTCCATCTCTACGTGACTTGGGCACAATCCTGGCCTTGTTCTTGCTGGTGCAGGCTGAAGGGGCTTGAGACCATCGGTGGACAATGTGTCAACGCTGTTGGAATCTTTCTCCCAACTAGTGATGGCTTGCCTAGACGGGAGGGTATAAAAAGACCGAACCAGACCGAGGAATCTTTCTGGGGCCTGCTGCTTCCTGTCACGGTACATGGCCGCGTCTCGGACATCTGGCGTGCCTACCTGACGCAGAAGCTGCTTTGGGATGCGACATGGCAGAAGATGGGTTCGGAGGTCAAGCATGGCTCAACGTCTCAGCGCATGCGTGTTTGGTCAGAAAGCCTCAAGATAAGACTAGCATTCCCTGAACAGAGCTTGAACAGTGCTGCTTGAACAGTGACTTGCAGGTGGGTCAGGTCGTGACATTCATGGCCCCGCACGTTGTGCACGACCGTGTCGCCCACGACTACCTGAAGGACCACGGCATGACACGACCCCTTGCAGTTGGATCTGGGATTCGTGTACTGCCCTGCGTATGTGTACTGCTGACATGGAGGATGACAAGCACTAGCTGAGCACGAGCTTTGTGGATTTCATGGCATATTGTTGCCACGAAGTCTCGATGTCCAGAATTTGCTGACGTTTTGCTGTGTTTCGCCTTGAAATTTTTACATCTGGGAAGGGGCGGCAGGACTTCCAAAGCGAGGGTGACCTTCAGTACGGAGCCAAGCTGACACGTGTGCAAGCGACCTAACCAGAGTGCATGGTCGTGTGCATAAGCGCGGCGGTCACACATACTTGTCCTATGTCGTGTGCTTATGTGTGCTAGAAGTTGAAGAGTTCACACCCGCAGCATGGCTTTGAGCAATTTGCTTCGAGGCTGAAGAGCACGGCGCTTGTTGCGTTCCTGGCGAAGTGGTCCAGTCGCCAGATTGCAGTCATGTCGACGACATTCTGTGTGCAGGCTTAGTAGTGGTTCAGTTCAATGGCTGCACTGGTGCCTTATTTAGTTGAGAGTGAGCTTCAACCGTGACTGAACATTGTTCTCGCTTATCACCATGGTTTTGTTTAAGGCCCTATTCCCTTATGGACTATTCTGAATGGGGCCAGATGCCTTGTCTTGTTCAATGGCCTGGTGTTATTGGTTGGAGTTTAACATTCTTGTCGGCGAGGCGACGCGCCCACACTTGTGGAGCGGATCGAGCAGCTCTGGTCAGCACTCTACACACGTACCGTGGCGGACAAGTTCGGCAAAAGGGGCTGCGGCTGCGTATTTTTACCGTGTTCCACTGCCGGGGGATATGCAGCAGTTTCTCGGAAGTAATTCTGCGGTTTATTGCTGCTGACCAATAACGCTTTACGCTTTCGGTTCTTATCCCCAGAGATTGGAGTTACATTCCCCCGGCTCCTCAAGTTATTCCAGTGTGTGTGTGTGTGTGTGTGTGTGTGTGTGTGTGTGTGTCTCTCTCTCTCTCTCTCTTTGTCCTCCTCCCCGGGCCTCCCCCACCCCCTAAGCCTCCCCGAGGCTAGAAGCACGCAAACCACAACCAACACAAGTAGCTCATGTTTGTGTGCTGTAGAATGACGTTCAACAAATGTGGTCCGGATTCCCTGTCATCGATTTCCTGTCATCAGTTTTGGCCTGGAGCTTGCCCCGTGCCGCCGAGGCAAAACGAACAATTTTCTTGGCCAAACGAAGACTTTGAATGTGGATGGAATGTTACCAAGCATGGAAAAATTGCTTAAAGCGATGTTGCGTATACCATGAGTCGTTGATCTGAGCACGAAAGTGACGGCACAGGCGGATTTGTGGAGCTGGGAGACGTGAGGCACGCCAGCCCTTTGCAGGGTCCGTCCGCGGAAAATCGCGGAAATGGTTCTGGGATACCTGGATGGGAAGCTGAGTGTTGAATGAAGTTGAATGAGCCTGAATGAACTCGAATGAACTTGAATGAACTTGCGCATTGTTTCGGGACAGGCTGGCGCAGGCCTGGATCCGAGACTTGATCTCGGTGGGCTACGAGTTCCCGGAGCTACAGCTTGGCAAGATCATGTGGCCTTGTGGGAGGAGGGTTGCAGGCTTTCGGAACGAAGGGTTCATCAGGGCGAGCGTGAGCGTGCCCTCCGTAGTCTTGTAGGGCGAAGTCTCACATTCTCCAGCCTCATGCAACTGGTCAATCGACATGCACTTGGAAAAGATCGAAAGCCACGAACTTAAAACCTGGCACATCCAAACTCTGCAAGTCTCATTCGGATACATTACCAGGTGGGTGGCGGCCGATGGCACACCCGCGGCGGAAGATAAGAGTGAGCTGTAGTTGTGGAGGATTTGGGCTAAAAGGGCCTGGGTTTAGACGAAAGCTATCTTTCCCGCACTAGTTTAGGGGATGCGTGTCCCAAATGTTCCGGTTTCCCACCAGCAGTCCCTGCAGCAAAGCGCTGTGTCCGTGCCTGCAGGCAATTATGGGCGTGAGGGGACAAAAAGGCCGGTGCTTCTTGTTATTTTCGATTCCTAGACTTTTAGACCCTCAGTGACTCGGCGGAGCCACGGTTATGTAACGGTGTATGTGTTGTTGTACTCAAACCGTGGGATAAGCAGTGTGTTTGTGCATCGCTTGCGTGTCGTGGTGGATGCGTGCCTCTCAGGCCCTCTACAATGGAAAATAGATTGAGTCATTGCTTGTATGCAACCTGGCTGGCTTGTCTAACTGTCTAACTGTAGTTGTTGCTTGGACAGCAGTGGCTTCAGGGTGCATCAGAACTACGTGTGTTCACGAAGTCGAAACCTTATGTGGCCTGCCGGCTGGAGGCTTCTGCAGACATACACAAGTTCACTCCAATTGTTGAAGGGCCATGAAAAATCCATCCCATGCACCAACTTTAGGGCGAATTTGCATTCACCAAGTATCGCCCGCCGCAATGCCGGGCGAAGAAGCGCCGCACATCCGTCGTCGAACAGTAAAATTGCTGGCCGCTTGGGCATATCTGGCAGCTCCATCGGAGTCCAAAACTCCTGTACTCAGTGACTCTCAACCCCTCCAACTGTGGAATGACATTTGGATGGATCATTTTTCTCATGTTTGCAGACGTTGGAACCATCCCCTCGGAACCACCCCGCTGAACACCGCAGAGCCCTGAATTCTGAATGCCCATGTGCACGCTTTGTATCGCTTAGCCATAAACTCCTGAAGCCAAACGCCCAAGTCTTCCAAAGTCCACAAAGTGGCAGTTTTTCGGAGTAGATCCAGACAGATGTTTGCCCAACCTTGGGGTTTCAGAGCCAAGATCCAGGATTGTCTGGCAAAGCTGTAGTGGGGCTCGATTTTGTCAGCCATGCAATATATCTTGGAATCCCAATGTTTCGACGACGTCCCCTCCATGATGAATACAATGTACGCGAATAAGTGTGCAAAGGAGTCTCCACACGTGCCGTTTGCCGATCTTCCAGAAAAAGAACGTGCGGAAATTCATGTTTTGTTTTTTTATGAAGAGTTTTGCATTCAATGAGCATCCTGATGGCCAACTTGCATCTGGAGTTTCGGGTTGCAGTGTGTGGACAACTTCCACAAACCCAACACAGCAATAACAACATGGAACTTTTTTGCAACCATGATATGCGCATATACTTTCACGTACATACTCATATGTTTTATGTCTACAACATAGGTTTATGCTCAGGTCTCCAGGAGTGTTCCAAACCCAAAGCCAGATTCGAGGCCGCGCCATTCCGCCAAAGCAACCGTGAGGGTTGCTCACCTCAGGACCGGGTCAGGTTGTGTTTATGCTTCTGGCTTACAGTATGGGCTTCAAGAGTCTTGGGGTTGTGAAGGGTTTGGAGTGGGATTCCCTGTATCCGAGCAGGTGCTGGAGTGGCAAAGATTGGCAGAAGACGCATTCGTGTGAGTTACCCTGAGCTACAAACCCTGTAAAACCCTACTCTTTGTGTGCAGGTGTGCCTTTCCCTGCTTGGCCTTGCCGTCGCGGCCAGAGCCTCACATAGCATCGCACACTTTTCATCTGTTCGATGGGCATTGTTGAGCCTCTGAGCGCGTCTTGAGTCTTGCGCAAGTGGCTGCTCCTTGAGGTCCAAAATGCTCTGCAGGCTTGTTGGCTCAATTTTGCTCGTTGAGGAACCCTTGTCGCTTCTCTTGGAGCTGCCAGTCGCTTGACTCGCCGCCATGTGCTTCCTCTTTGGTGCAACAGGCGTTGGGGTGACTGTCACAGGGGAGGCCCTCATTGGAGGAGTTAGCGATGACCCCTACCTGTTTCGCACCTTTGTACGGGCGGTTCGAGCATCGGATGGCATGGGGCACATCGGCACAGAGCTCCGCTATGTGGACTCGACCGGCGATCCTCCACCCTTCGAGGTGGAGCCTGGCCAGCCGACTCGCGGCATCAACTCTGCTGGCTTAGCATTCACCGCGGCGCTGGCGGTGGAGCGTGACATCGACGGGAGTATCGACGTGCTTGCTACCCCCCTGACTTTTGCAGGCCTCAGCCGACAGATGATGTCTTCTTGCCAGGATGTAGAGGAAGCACTTAAGCTGCTACTTGAGGCAGGGGCCGTCACGCCTGCCTTTTCCGTCTTGCTGGCAGACGCCCAGCAGAACCTGGCTCAGGTGGAGGTGGGTCCTTTTGGTGTGGCCGTGCTGCAGCGCTATTCACGCGAGAACCCTGGGATGCTCGTGGCGGTGAACTGTCACCAGTGCCCAGAGCTTTTGGCTTTCAATTTGCCTGTGGCCGAGATGAGCTACCAGGGCAACAACAACGGTCGCCGTTGGCATCGAGGATGGGAGCTAGCCAGCAAATATCGTGGTAGCATTGATGTGGACGTGATGACGGCGATCCTTAGTGACCACATCAACATCGAGGAGGACTGCAGCACAAACCCTGTAATCCCTTGGTGGGGCCACAGCATCTGCAACCACGGCACCTGCAGTGCCGAGAGCTATGACAGCAGCAAGCCATGTTGGGGCACTGTCAGTGCAGAGATACTGCAACCTTCGGCCCGTCTTCTACACTACGCTTACGGCTGGCCCTGTGGGCACAAGCCCACCTTTGCCGACCAGGTCTACCAAGAGGGTTCATGGGGCTGCTTCAAAGCCTTCCATGTGCCAAGGCCGCATGGACCGCATGAGTCGCGACAGGTTCAAGACGAAGTGGTGCAGTGCACGACCGTGGAGGGGGCCGTCACAGAAGAGGGGCGCCTCTTCATGTAGCAAGTAACCATGTTCCCAAGATTCATTCGTTCGAGGTACATCAAGTCCCGTGTGCCACGTACTTGTACAGAACGGAGTTCGTGACCCAGCGCCTTCTTGTGTACGAGCCTGCAATGCAGGAATGTAAAGCAATCTTGAGTTAGCAATGGACGAAGAGGAGTGTGCATGCACTTGCCAAAAAAGAATCACCCATGTTCAGTGTGCACAAGTTCGAGTCCAGTCCCGCCAGGCGCTGGGCACTTTGCTTGGCATGTTCTTCTTCAGCATGCAGAGACTTGGCGATTTTGTCTGAGCTCTAGACCAAAGCGGATTGGGAAGAAGACAGGGAGTTGCGTAGAACTGCGAGTCAATTCGGCAAGCACTATCTGACTCATGCCTTGTTGGTGCCTCCACACAAGCTTTAGTGGCCATGAGCCATTGCATTCACCCGAGGTGGCGAAACTACAATGTCTGGCTCGGCGGCCAGCTTGAGTGGAGGTCCGGGACGTGCGACCTTCGCACACCACAAAGCATGAAAAGGCAAATCGGTAATGCATGGTAAAGCCCTGAGCAGGTGAGCCTCTTAAACCTTTGAAGCGAAATGCCACAAAGCCACGTGAATCCTGCGACCCTGAGCACATCTGAGCACCAATGGTTTTTGAGGACTGTGTTCTGTAGAGGTGCAGCCTCGTCGTCTGCTCGCTGCGAGCCCCAGCTATGTTAACTGCAAGGTGGGTTGGAGCGTCTGCAGAAGCATGTTTGCAGAAGTATCTTGCGAAGGCATCTTGCAGAAGCTGCAAAAAAAAGCCTGTCAGACTAACTCCGAGTTTCATTCGGGTTTGTATCTCCCAGCCCTGGGAAAGCCCCTGAGGATATGCTCGGCCCAGTTCTCTTATGGAGAGGGCGCTCGACAAGGTGCTGCAGGATAAGACTCTTGGGCTGAACGTCGTCGCCTTGCCGCTGTGATAGGAAATGGCCGTGATGCGAACTGGCAAGAAATGGCCCTACACCCGGCCTAAGATTTGTGAACAAGAATCTTCTACTACAAGTACTGCAAGACATCGCACCATCCCAGCAGGGTGAAGAAGATACACCCTCTCCTAAGCCTTGGAGCTGTCAAGTCCTTCATTCATGTCCGAAGGGGCGCGTAGGGCAAAGACGCGAAGACGCGAAGACGCGATCTTTCACGCAAACACACGACAGCTCAACGGCTTCACGGCGTCAACGTGGGCATCCATACTCACGATGTCAACGGCGTCAACAGCGGCTTCGCGGAATCAGCGGCTTTTTCAATCCACGGCGTCATCGACTTCAACGGACCAATACTATGTACTGCAGGTTCATGCCCCTACCTTTTGTTTGAAATCGTAAACACAGTTCCCCCAAGATGTTGAGGTGTTCTGATTGAACTAGCACAAGACAGTATCACTGGATGTGTCAGGTTGCGCCCTGGAAATCTGAAATGTCGTGCGAATTTGTAAAGGAGAACAGGATCCCTCCCCCCCCCCCTCCTTGACGCCAATTAGCTGCATGCTCGTTCTAAGCCTAGATCCTGAACCCTTCGAACTCCACATGTTCGCCAGGCGAGCCATATGACCGAAAGCATTAGGGATGTAGAAGCATTTGTTGTTTGGAGCCCCTAGAAGCACGCTTCTCTCTATGACCCAGCGACCCAACTCCCCATCAGGTACGCCTCGCCCGAAATGGAGCAGTGGGCGATTGATTTCTGCAATGGGAAGGTCGAGCATTTCCCAACCCTGTGGAACTTGTTCCTGGGACGTCAGTTTGTCAGCCTATGCAGTCCGGATTGCTTTGGTATGCTACCCCGAGTCCTCCACATCTGACGTCCCAGGAACTTCTGTGAGAACACGAACCATGTGCAGTGCCCTTGATCTTCGGGGCGAGGGCATAAAGGTTCAAGGCAGGCTTCATAGCTTGCAAGTTTAAAGCTGGGCAGCTCATGTTGAAAGATTTGCAGCAGTTTCGGATGGAATGTGCAACGCTGGGAACGAAATCGCACGTCCCTCGAGTTTCTGGCTGGCAACGTGAGAATGTTCACGGCGGAAGCTTTAGCCTTCGATCGGTTTAGGCTGTCGAGGGATGGCTAGTAACTGTTGCCTCCGACATATGTCACGAAAGCTCGCGTAGCGAAGCTGGAGTTTTATCTGCTTTAGCAGCAGGGGGCCGACCACGGCCAGAAAACAGCGTATTATTGATACTATCTTATTAGGGGGGGGGGTGGGGGGGGGGGGGGGGGGGTAAATTGATATATCACACGAATTCCTTGGTTTTGGAAGGGGGGAGGGGGGGGGTGGGGGTAAATTGATACATCACACGAATTCCCTGGTTTTGGAGGGGGGGGGGTGGGGGGGGGGGGGTAAATTGATATATCAATACCTTAAGGGGAGGCGTTTTTACGTCAAGACCTGACTCCGTCGCGTGTTGACCGCAGCGCGTGAGTCAGGGTCCCAGCACAACATGCGTCGCCGCCCACTAGTGATGTGTTGATTGCAACAAGCTAGTTGATTGCAAGAAGCTAGTATCTACCCAACACTGCGACGGCTGAAAAGAAGACGCTGGCCCCTCAAGCATGCCTCCAACTGGGCCCTGCCCGCACTTTCTCTTGCAACTTTGCTCTTGCTTCCGGCCCCCGAGCTTTCGTCCTCCCTGCCTCCGGCCCTCAAGTTTGTGGGTGGAGTGCCTGAAACAGGCCGTTTTTGTTTAGTGTGTTGCCGGACCATCGGAACGGTAGCCTGCTGGTTTCGTGTGCTGCCGAGCGCAGATGTCAGGTACAAGCTGTTCGGCGCTTTTTGTGAGCGAAGCGATTATTCCGGAAAGTTCATCGCAGCTCGGCAATAGTTGGGTGCGTCCTAAGTATTGAGCCCCCCAAGAAACTCACGTCCTGCCTCGGATGGAGATTTTCACTGCGATTCTTTGCCGAACGACCACTTGAGTTCAGTACTGAAGTTCTGACCGCCGGGGACCCCGTCGGAACATGATTCTCCTGCCGAATACGTGTCGACCAGAGTACGTCTGTCATGTGACTGTACCACGGCATCATGGCTAGAAACAACAGACACACACGCCAATAGCATCACTGAAGCAAAGCAGCGATCACATGTGCACTTCTATTTTATGCTCCTTCCCACGTGACTCTACCTCTGCAGATCCTAAGACGAAAGAAAGGCCCGAGCCAGGCGAACCGAAACCAGTAATCAGGGCGAGGAGCCATCGTGCCGCGGTTACATCCCTACCGCCCAATCTTGCATATCAAGAAAGTCTAACCTGAGCGGTAACATCTGGCTCTAAGCACTGCCACTGTTGCCTCCGAGGATGGGACGATATGGAGACGCTTGGTGGCAGTGTTTGTTGTAAGAATCCAGTCATTGTTAAACCCAATGGAGGCCTCTTGACTGTGCCTCGTGGTTTTGTGCGTGGCAGTCTGTGTCTTTTCTTCTCGCACTTTTGCCTGATTGGAGGCATCATGCGCTACACCTCCCGCACGGCCTTCATCATGACCTTGCTGAGCCTTCTAGCGACGCTGACTACGCGGCTTGGTTGGTTGAGTGGAGGGGTCAAACATTTTGCAGTGGTTGCCGCTTGCGAAGCAGTTGCGAAGAAGCTTTTGGGAAGCATTGAGCGAAGCATTGCGCGAGGCATTGTGCCAAGCGTTTGGGAGAATGTGCAAGAAGACATGTTCTGCCGATTCCCCGAACTGACCATGCCAGGGCGCTGTTCCTCATGAAGGACCACCAGACCTGTTCCAAAACGAAGAAACCGCGGTGGGCCATCTCAGAGGACACTGCCTGTCACAGAGGGCCAGTCAAGCTTATTGCCCGAAGCAGCGCGCTGGCCAGGAGAAAACCGGGAAGTTTCGGCCGTATGTGAAAATCTGTGCTGGCCTGGCGCCGCTGTTGCAAGCCCTAGCAGCTATTCAGTACCGTTGGTGTGCCTGGGCGGCCGACAGAGGAATTTTGCTAGTGTCGCGTTTGCAGGGGCCGTGTAGGCAAATCCCGCATGTGCGGCTTTGAGATTTCAGAACGAGGCATCGAGTCCTTCGAGCGCTACGGGGGCATCCCCAAGCAGACGAAGCTGGTCGGATTGATAAGCAGGGAGTCTTCCGAGGTGCTGGCGCCCATGTCCACTGGGGGTGTGTCCAGGATTACTCAGTCGTTCTTTTGTCCGAGTGAGGTGGCCGTGGCTTGGGCCGTTATGCTCTTCTTCACTGTGTCTCTTCTGGAGGCATGTGGACTTTGTCATGATTTGTCCCTTTTGGCTACGGAGCAGAGATCTGGCGGCGATACAGTCAGTATGTGCTGGAAGCGAATTTACCCCTTGACCAAATGTCCTGCGACGAGAGAACCCAAATATGTTTTTTTTTTGGTTCTTTTTGACGTTTTGTTTGCTTTGATACATAATCGTTACAGAAACATCGAAGAAGTATAGAACACAACGAGCGAAATGCATAAACAAAACAATGCGTGAATCACCATGCCGGAGGAAGAGAAGGTCGGAAATGATCTAGCAACCAACACAAGACAACAAAGACAGCACAACAAAGAACGGATGGAAGGAAGACATCATTAAAACAGACAAACAGCACGAGGAATTTTTCAAATATTACGAAGACCAAATGCAAGCTTTCGTCAACGGAAGGCACACCAATGACCTAGTAAATCAGCGAGATTGGCAAGCATAAGTTTGCTACTAATACGACTGCTATCATTTATTCGGCTATTGCTGTTAGTGTTACTCGTATTACTGCTATTCTGATACTATCACCATTACTTCTACTATTGCTATTCTTACGACTAATACTCTTGTTCTTATGGTTATGATCGTTATTACCCTCCAATCCCCCGTAAGCTGTGTGAGCTTGCCTTGAGAACAGCATGCCATCAAGAAGATTTGTGCGAGCAGTGTTTCTGCTCTGTACGAATCCTTTAAAACCCGTCATGTGAGCAGCAAATGGGAAGGGGGCTGTGCCCTTCCCGCCACTCAACCCACAGCGTTTGTAAGCTGTGCACTACCATGGCTACTGGCACGTGTCACGTACGCCGCGAACATAACAGACGCAAACGCACGACATGAGCTCCGGGCTGATGTGTCTGATGATAAATCTGTCTTGTTGCCTGTATTTTCTCATCTCTCATCTGCATTTATGTTCTTTACGTTGCCCTTATTCATGTTCTGTTTTAGTATCCTCCTGTCATCTCCGTCCGTCTTCCCCTTCTCTTCTTTCTCTTGGCAAATGTGCAGAATGTACTCAATCGACCCTTCTGAATTTCTTGACTTCCTGGCAAAAACTAGTGAGCGCATGGATGTCTTGCTTGGCATTGCGAACGCTCACGTGGCGGACCTGCCCTGGGGTCCCTGCCTCAACCTCCTAGGTGGCCCCGCATAGTTTCGATCTCAGCTGGTCCAGGGTCCTGTCTTTGGTGATGCTCTCCTGGGTCCAAAGTGGTCACAGTCACGATGATGGCGGACCCCTTATGCCTCATCCTTGAAACTGTCCTAGGTTCGCACTTTCGAGGCCCGAACGCGCTCAGAGGCTTCAGCAACCTCGCGAAATCTTGCGGACGCTTCGCGGACGCTTGCGAACGATTCGTGATGACAAAACGCAGGATGTTTTTTGGTCACCTCTCGGACCCGAGGAACGCCAACCTTTCAAGCGGTTCCCACCCCAAAATTTTCCTCCAGTCAATAACAGTGGTCGTCCCTGCAGTGCCATTTAATGCATCAGCTAGGCGGCTTGCAAAAAAAGCAGGAACCCTTCTGCCACGCATTCGGGAGAAACAGCTACAACAAGATATCCGCCCTTCTGACGACAGGGCGTGCTGGTGGCTGCGTTGCTGTCCGGCCCGCTGAGGTGTGTAAGCCGGGTTGTATTGAGGTTGAGGGTTGGTGACTTTGGTTGTTGGGGGCTTCCCGAGTTCCCGGGCATAGGGTATTGTCGTGGCTGTGGAGGAGCTTTAGTGAAGTCTCGGCACCAAGCCATTTGACAGACCAGCCCATCTTGTAAGTGATGCTCGAGTTGAGTAGCTAGAAGGGAGAGTTCAAAAACAGTTTCTTAAAGAAACGTTTCGGAGATCATTGGCGGAAACCTTTAATGACATAAAACATCTCGCAACACGAGGAGGCCAGAAAGGCCCATTGGGCTGGATATCTTCGACACCTGCGTGGCTTCTGAGCTCATTCAACTGATGTTGTTGTGCATGTATCGCATATTTTGACGTTGTGTTGGCGGGCAGGGTGGTGGTCCTGGAACGTGAGACCCACGGACCCCAAGGTCGAGTCCACGCCGTGGTTTGGGTATCCAACCATTCCAACTAATCTAAACAACATTCAACAAACCCTTACAAACTTGCAGAGTCGAACGTCAAGAATCGGCTTACCGAAAGTCTTCATCCCTGCCGGTCATGCTGGGGCTCTCGTGCAAACAGCCTGCGATTGCCATGACCTGGCCGAGGATGTGCAACTGGAGCGGCGGACGCGCCACGATGTGTTTTGCCGGCAATGACTTGTAGAGCTTTGAAAACACGTACAGCAAGGTAAGGGCATCTCACATCCTAGCAGTGTGTCCTGCCATGAGAATGTGTTCTGGTCTGCAAAGTACAGGGGACGTGCGCAGCGCCGTAAGCTTCCTCAATGAGTTCTCCGGCGAACAGGTGGAGCTTTCGGAGCTTCCGAGCACGAAGGCAAGCTCAGTGCTGCCTAAACAAGGTGCGCGGCCGCATGTAGCGAATGTAGCGGGCATTGGGTGCTTGTGCTTCAGGCCTTTCTGTGCAAATAGGTTAGCCTTAGGTAATGTGCGGAATTCCGCAAAAGAAATTGTTTCCCAAAAAGTTGGGAAAGGTGGCTTGGCAGGATGAATCATGTGCACGCGAAAGGCTCCACGTCCAAAGCCTGTGCCCTCGCTCCAAGCTGCGGCCGACCTCAAACCGAGAAGCAACCAGCGTGACAATCCAAACCGATTGGTAAAAAACACCCTTAAGGAGGAGTAGCAGCATCATCATCGGGCGCGGCTTGGTGATGCATTGTGAGACTTGGGTCCGTCACGCACGTCGGGATTGTCGTCCGATTCCAGGGAGATTAGGCAAATGATGGCCAAGGATGAGCGTGAGCAAAGATCGGACCAATAACTGAAACAGGCTTGAGGGTGCAGGCCGACGGTAGGTGTCCAGGTAGGTGTCCAGGTAGGTAGGTGTTGGCTGGTAGGGATGCCCGCATTCAGGACATAAACCACATGGACCACATACATGGAATACAATGACAATGGTTGAAAAAGAGTGTATGAAATCCACATGAAGACACCCGAGTCCCCACAGCGCCCTGAACCCCCAACGCTCTCAGCACTTCCAAGCGCTACTGCCCTGTAAGTTCAAATTGTCCCAAACCCTGAAAGCCCTCAATCCGGCCCGGCCCAGCCAAACCACAAGAGAACCCACCGCAGTTTTGGTTTCTTCTTGAAGCTCGGCATTTTCAAGCCGAGGCTTGGAATGCAATGGGCCCTCAGCAGGCGTCGCCTTGGCCAAAGTCAATGCCAGGGCCTGCCCAGCAGCACCCGGCGCAGCCTGGGCTTCATCTGCCGCCGCAGTGGGGTCCGCCTAAGCAGCCACCTATGCAGCCGCCCATGCAGCCGCCTATGCAGCCGCCTATGCGGCCCCACTGCAAAAGCGGGGAATTGGGAACGAGCATGCTGGGTTTACTACTGTCACTGCACCCCCTCGCCAAATCAGGATGCGCCCACCTCCACATTCGCAAGGCTCGGCACTTGGTGGGAGGGCTGGGGTACATGGGGGTGCATGAGGCTCATGATTTTCGAGTTTGGGGGATGTAAGAAAGAGTAGGTTGCAGGCAATGATGCCCCCACCCTCCTGAAGCGCAAACAGTCCCTTCAGTCTCAGGTTGGGCCCCGGCTCTGCACAAAGCGTCGCTGCCATTGATGCCACCAGGCACCAGAGCCTAAGAGGAAGCTCCAGGGTTGAAGCAGCTTCGGCTTAGCAAAGTCTTTGTTCCTGAGTCTCAGGTCTGGGAAGAAAAGGGCTTAGATAATGGGGCAGCGGGGGAGACTTCGATATGCTGTCTTCACCGCCTTTAAGAGGTCCATGAAACAGCAACTCCAAGAAATCGAAGAGATGTGGGTTATGGGCCGCTGCGCCCGCACAGCCCAAGCGCTCATCAAAACAGCGTCTACAAGCGCTCCTGCAGGCTCCAAAGCAAAACCCACCGTCGCCAGGCCTTCCAGCCCCACGCTCTCCACGGCAGCCGCTTTGCGACCACAAGTGGAAGACGTTTAAGCAAGGATGTTTAATTTAATGGTCTTTGAGAGGCAGTGTTGTCGCAGTGTTGTCAGGCCCTAAGGCTGCAGGTGAATTAAGGGTTCAGGGTGTGCTTTCGGGCCTGAGGGCCGAATGATGTACTTGTTCCCTGCGCTTCCATTGCCTGCCGCAACAGGTTTGATCACTCCTACCAGACCCCTGTTCCTCCGCACCTCGGCAATGTGGTGGTTTCCTTGCATGCTGTCTTAGGGGAAACCCGCAAACGGGAATACTGTGAGCAGACAGCAGAAGTGTTTTTTTGTATTTCAAGAATCCAGGGGCTAGAGATTCGAGATTTCTCTATCCAAAGGTTGTATTTCCTGTTCCTTTACTTTAGAATCGTTCTGTTACCGGTACCCCCCAACCCGAAGCTACTGCTGGGAAGAGGGGGGGAGCGAGTTCTCAGGATCCCGATGTCATAGTCGAAATTCTCAAAGAGAGATACTACGCAGGGAATTTGAGGGTTGGCGGAGGCTGAGGGTAGACAGGGTATGACTGGAAGGGGGAGCTCAGCCTCATTGGGGAGACATGTGGTTTTTGGTATCTATATATATACACCACATATATGAGTATGTATTTGTGAACGTATGTTTTTGTTTTTGGCCCCTGCCCCCGGGCCAGAAGACTGCAGGACACTGCAGGTAAACCGCCCGACTCTGCCGCGCACTGCACGTGCTACCCCTCCGGCTCTCAGCCTCCTATGTAATTAAAGGCAAAACGAGAATACTGCATCCCAGAAGACTGCATTAAATTCACATCACATCCCAACGTAAAGGCAGCACGAGAAGTACATCCCGGAAGAAAGACGAAACGATAAGAGCACATCCCAACATACGACTTAACACATATGAAACCTGTCCAAACCACTATGTGGAAACAGCTGGGACCCGCAGCGTCCCTTTCTGAAAGCCTCACCCCATCCGAAACAAAATGGAGCAACCAAAAATGTCTGGTTCCACTCAGGAACTGGGCCAACACCAGCAAGCACACCAGTAGCTGAAGAAGGCCTGGGAGTTCTGAGGGCCATGGGCCACTTGGTCGATGTGGGGGGCAGTGGCCTAAACGGCCTGGAGTGCTGTTTCCAGTGAACCAATTTCGTCGGCCATGTGGGATCGCTGTTCTCGGAGTTCTGTGAAAAGCATCGTGTCGGGGTAGTTTGACAAATTGACAGTTGCAGCCTCACGCAACATGCGAATGTTTGCCTCATCAAAGCTGGGACGCACAAAGCGCGTGTTAGAGTCAGGTTTGATTTCGTCAACCCGTGGCGTCAGCTGTGCCAGTGGTGCTGATCTTATTGCAGGAGAGGTCGTCTGTGACAGTGAAAGTCGTAGATACCTTGAAACCTGGACAGCTAATCCTAGTTGTGCTGCAACGGTTGCCGGCGGCCATGCAGTACCTGGAAGGGCGCCTCGCGATGCTGGGTTGATAAGGTCTGCGGCCTGAACAAGCTGTGTAGACATCGTAGAGCCATCTTTCACCTTCCGGCCAAAGCAGCCGGATTTACAGAGTTAGCAGTGCAGGATGCGTCCTGATTGGTTCCCGAAAAAGGCAGTCGTCTCAGGTGCGGCAAATTCCTCAAGATACGTGGGTTAGCGGCGCGTAATGCCTGAGTAGTTGGTACTGGAACATCTTTAAGTTTAGTTTAATGCTGTCAACCAGTAGCCTCTCCTCTGCCTGAGCACTTGGCCAACTTCAGATCGAGGTGAGCTAGCCAATTGAAGTGAAACCTGTCAAGAAATCAAACATTTTCGTCACCACCAACGGCATGCCTGCCCTACATATGGGCTGTTGATGTCCATGAAAGCAACAGCTCGCACACTCTGGGCCGCCGGGTTTTGGTCATGCTGCTTGGGGTCAGTTCCCGGGGTTGCAGCGCCTGGGCGCGCCACTAAGACAGTGATGGGCCGGTGGATTGGCCCTCACTGTACAGTACATGTCGGAAGAGCGCGAAAGCGGCTTCGAACAGCCAGAACCGCTGTATTTGGCTGCGTGTGCAAGCTGCGAACACTCAGAAGTGCTTTAATATTGCCAGCATGGGCGGGAAAGCGCCATTGTTAGGAAGGAGAACACATCCACCGTTTTGCAGCCGCTGTGGCCCGAAAACAGACCCGGCAGAAAAAGCAGTGTCTATTCGTGCTTCCATCGAGCTGCTGACCATGATAACATGCTTCACTTTGTCTTTTGGACCCTCAACCCAGATAGCTATCCCAAGGACCATAGCAAGGTGCGGCATCAGAATAGAAATTTTGCTCAGAACATTGGCGCCGCATTAGTTGTCATGGCGCTTTTCGCCGAGGTGCTGCTGTAAAATTTGGGAGTTTCCCATCTCGGGAAGGGCCAGAAGTTCGCATTGAGAATGTAAATGTACACTTCTCGAAGAATGCCCGCATGCCACTCTGTCAGCATGGTCAACCTCCAGACCTCAGTACTCAGTTGTAACAGATTCTTGCGCAAGCGCAAGCCGAAGCTTGGAGTGGTGGCAAAGCCTTAAGAGTTGCCTTTGGGCATGGATTGGGAGGGGGCTTGCAACTGCCATGGGGGCAAAGAAGAATGGTGGCCATCCGGCCTCCCCTGGCATCTCTAGGCCCCCTGAGACCCTGCCTGTCTATAGTGGGTCTAGTGCATCGTCCCGCCCCCCTGCCTCACAAGCCTTCCTCAGAAATATGAGCCGTTTGTTTTTTGTTAGGGAGACGCCCCAAAACCCCAAACCTTGATGTTTTGGCAGGATTAGATTGCCGAAGCTTTTTTTTTCTCCGAACATGTACTTGAGCACAAAAAACGATCAGGAAATCCATGGTTTAAGACACTGGCTTTCGCAAACGGATGATCCGCTGCTGCATTCAAGAGCGGAAAAGATTGCATGACCGTAGCCTTAGCTAAAAAAACTTCAAGCTCAAAACTAAGCTCGAAGATCTTCCGGCGAGGCGTTTGCCTTCGGGCCAGCGCCTGCGCTGCCCGTCACCAGGCAAGATTGCTTCTCCAGCTTCAAAAATCTCCCATGTGTTCAGTGTTTGGACTGAAATGCAAAATGAGGGTTTGAAAACTTTGCACAGAGTGTGGCAGGTCTCCTGTTCCAGAAGCAAAGCTGTGTAGCAGTTCAGAGAGGGAATGTTCCGTTCCCTCCTGCTCGAGGGTGTGTTACGGCTTTTGGGGGATCCGGCAGAGATGGGCGGCAGGCCCGCATCCACTTGTGGGCGGGTGAGACATGAACCACAGCGAGGCTCGAGTCTGAGACGGGGCAGTGCAAAAGGGTCCAGACCTTTGAACGTCTGTGAACGTGTGCTGTGGTTTCATGGTTGCAGTCGCTGCAACACTGCAACCCTTGCCGTGTCATCGCACAGTACCGGGCCCGCAGATCCTGCAAGTCCTTTGAGTCATCGATCAGGTCAGCTAGCAAGTTTTTGCACGGGCAGGAACTACTGGAGGCGGTCCTGCACTGGCAGTGTCAGCAGCGGCTTTGGCTGCCGGTGTTGCGGCAAAGAGGCAGGGTCGGGCATGGGACTTGTCCGGTGTCTGGCTGCGGTCTTTCAAGAAGCTGGGATTGCTGCTGGGGATTGGGTTCGAGTTACAGGAAATGTCGCAGGTACGCTGGCACACGGCGCACGGTTATTTCAACATACTGGTCTCAACTCTGGCAGCAAACCAACATCGACAATGCCCCAGGTGATCAATCGCCTCCCAAACCCCGAATATACCCAATGCAGCCATGCCGGCGATTACGCAGTATGCCGAGCCCCCCCCCCCCCCCCCCCAAAGACTTCTACACTGTACACGATCAGTACACCCTGTGTTGCAGACATGCAGACCTGAGGCCTCAACACAGATCCAATCGCCAAACCCTAGATTGCTCAGCCAACCTCAGCAATGTCTGCATCGTTTGGACTTGCCACATGAGTGTTCGTGATTCCCAAGCTCCGGTTGGATACCCCAAATCCTCCCAGCAGCATAACAAGCCCCCAAATGTGGCGCTTGAGTTTGAGCACCTGAAAGTGGGTCCAGTGGTGTACAGCCCAAAGCCAGGCGCTGGGCGGGAGCCCGAGGGACCATTGCCCGGAGGGCCCAGCGCCCCAGTCGTCGTTCTTATTCTAGAAAGCTCAGGGCAGGGGGGCGTTCGGAGCTCGGAGGTCCGGGTGGTAGGGAAGGTCATGGAAGGTGCAGAAGGTCGGATTCGAGTCTGGAAGGCCAGACGCCTGCTGTGAGGCCAATGTCACCGGTCCGGGCTGGACGGACGAGCTCGCTCGGCTCTTCGACCCACGCGTGGAAGGGCAGTGGCCTTGATAGCTTTCAATGTGATTTGCATTTTTCCTAGTGCTTTTGTTATGCGTACTTACTATGTACTTACCGTACAGTATAATAGACTCAATAGACAATATATCTAGACAGTACACATATATCTCACATGCCTTCATACCAGACCTCGCTCTCACTCTCTATCTTTTCTTCGGCCTAGCCTGATCAGCGGACAATCCTTTGATTTTTGCTCTTGTGAGCGCCCGTCTCGTTCTCAAGGGCTCTCCAGCAATGGTTTCGGCGATGTCTGTCACGTGTTTGCTCCTGAAACAACCGCGTACCCGATGATGCTCAGAAGCTGCAAGTCCACAGCGCTGCAACCAACCTATCCTACCCGTTACTTCAGCCTCTACTACTATAAATAAAGGCCCGACTGGGAGCCGGAGCTGGGATACTGCGGGCGACCACGCCTGAGACTTCTCCTGGATGCTGAGGACTGGGCTGGGAGGAACAGGTTTATCCTCCTGTAGGCTCACGAGTCATGGATTTCGGGGGCCTGGGGCCCGGTGAGGTCACAGACGATTTTGAGCGAGGGTAATGCGAGAAACAAGAGGTGCCCAGAAGGGTTTTGAGCAGAAATTGAATGCTGCGCTTGCCAGTGTGACATCAGCGTGCTTGGTGTGGCTGATTTCGGTTGCGGGAGTTGCTTGAACCGGAAGCATCAGAGCTGGCAGAGGTTCAGGCCGGATTCGAAAGGGACGATGCTCAGGGGGAACATTAGGAGGCCGGACTTGGTGGTTGCGCGCCTTTGTTTCCTAGAACATTGTATGGCACTTGGGTCAACAAAATCCGACTTGGGTTTGACAATTTGTAATGGTTCGAAGTCTCCTCAGAACCCATGGGCTCACACGACACTGGTTCCGGAAATGAGGACTGAGGCCCGAGCCAGGAACAAGAATCAACCGGCCATGGCAAGCTTGAAATTGGAGAGACTTACACGTGCCAGCCCAAAACACAGCACACTAGCACTGGCGTGCGGCAGAAAGCGCGTGAAGTGAAGCACGTTAAACAGAAAGATGGAGAGTGGAAGAAAAAGCAGCAGCACCTTACCGTGACAAGCTTCTGAGCCCACGGTCTCTTCCACAAATGAGCGGGCGGCTCTTCTCTTTGGAACTCCTTCTGATCAGCAGAAGTTGGGTTCTCCTTCCCAAGACCCGAACCCCACCATCATGATGGTTGTGTGGCAACTCTTAAGCATTAAACCTTCATAGCACCAAGCCGAGAAGGACATCTGCCTTTCCTACGCGAAGGCGGGTATTGATCGTTAGTGTACGGGGTTTAAGTGTTTGGGCTTCTCGCCCATGCCCATGGATGGAGAGGGTCCGGAGGTACAGCGGGCAATCAATCCGAACTTGTCTTCTGAGGCAGTCTTCGTTCTTGTCCTTCCAAGCGAGACAGCAGACGTGAATTCTGATTTCGTGCAAACAAAGTATTCGGGAAAGGGGTTTGGAGTTTGTTCATGCTTCCCTATATTCCTATCTTGACCACCTGTTGTGAGGCAGCTGCAAAATGCCAAGACCCTGAGCCCCAAAGCGAGAAGTAAACCTCCTCCTGTGGTCATCTACTGCTCGAAGGCTCGATATTTGCAGACGGGCAAATGGACAGGCTCAAAGCAAGCCATGATGGGCTTTGGTGGGCTTCAGGGATTTCAGTGGAAGGAGTGGATGGGTTCGGGAGCTGAGGAGGGTTGCAGGACTCAGGGCTTCATGC